GTATCAATTAAATAAGTTGTCTAATAGTAGTTAGTGTTCTGTTTCGAAAACTCGAATCGAAATGAAACAAAAAAATCAAACAAACCACCTGCAAGCATTACTTTTCGGATAAAAAAAAGAATTATCAAAATCGGTCCACTAGCGGCTGAGTTATGCCGTAACACACATAAAAAACATACAGACGAATTGAGTTCCTCCTTCTTTTGGGAAGTCCTTCAAAAAAATTATGGAACTCAAAATTTCCTTCATCTTATGCTTAGCACTAGGTAAGTAATTTAGTTGAGTAACCATTATTTAGTATCTAAAATACTCTCGTCTATATGATTTGCTTATCTACACGACTATATGTTCATTATTCAGACATGGTTCAGATATTAAATTACTTCCTACTCGACTTTGCTACTTGGTTAAATTATTTATTGCTCGACTAATTTACTGGATACTCGACTATTCTTGTTACTCGACTAATTTACTGGGTACTAGCCTAAATTACTTGCGACTCGACTAAAATACTGGATACTCGATTTTACTTGTTACTAAATTATTTGATAATTAAATTAATAACTAGCTATTTTACAGGTTTTGAGGGATAATATAAATTGTACCTACACTAAAAAGAAATATATAATAGGTAATCTTAGCTTCGTTTCGCTTACGATTATCTTTCATACCAGTGTACGATAGGCCTTAATTCGCGACAAGAAAACCCTTAAAACAGTACATGTTTCTATAGTATTTATTTACGATCATTTGTTTCATCTCGATCATAATACATCATGTTCATAAATGGCCATTGCCCTGTATAGGAAGAGTTGGTATTCAGGTCGAAACATCCCGTATTTTATACATCGTTAGCAATGACAGAAACACTTGAAGGGATCAATAAAGTTTGGACATTTCAGAATGATTGACCAGTGTTTGATGTACCGACAAACATGTATTTTATTTGTTGAAAGTGACAAATAATCACGCGTTCTAATAATTTAGGGATACGTAGATTTTCTTTTTCTAGATTTTAATAATATAAATGCAAAAGTTTAGATGGATATATATTAGAATAAGCGAAACTGCTGATTGTAAGAGATAGTGTGTAAGAATACATAGGCTACTAAGTTTTTCTTTAACTTCTTGAGGTCGGAGTCACGGGCGAAAGCTAGTAATCTTATTATAAGTATTATGACATTTTACGTACATAAATAATTCTTCTTTGTATGTCTACATATTTTTTTACATATCTAAGATGCTTGCAATCATTTCTATTGTGTGATATTGTAAAGAGAAAAGATTTTGATTTTTGTTTGTACCCGATAAACTCAAAAACTACTGAACCGATTTTAATAATTCTTTTACCATAAGAAAGCTACTTTATCTCTAAGTAACATAGGCTATTTTTAAAGTCCAAAATGTTACATATACTCCGTTTATTTAAACTTCTAAGAAAAAGGTAGCAACCTAAAACAAGACTGCAAAATTATTTTTAATACGCCTCAAATAACAGAGTGCGGGGAACAAAATTACATCCCACGTATGTTGCTGATACTAACCAGGCACAGACAGACTTATTATTTGTGTATATTAATGTTGGGGCAAAGCAATTTGTAATCCAGTTTGTAACAACATGTACGTATTTTTGATATACGAAAGATTTTAACTTTTATGTATCCAAATTAAAAGTTAAAAAAATCTATGTTAGTATTAGTTATTTGATTCATTAATTAGTAATATTAGTAGTTAGTAATCTATATTAGGACTCTACGTAAATTTTAGTAGTTATAAACATTGTTAAACTATATTTTTTTTTAATATTTCTTCTTGAGTTGCAATTTAAAGGTTGGAAACTACAAAGTATAATTTTTTAAAGATTTTACGGAAGGCTAAACACAAACATGCTTTCGCCACACGACTTTGTTCGTCGGCAGACAAACATTGCGTTTCCTGACGCTTTGTTTGATATCCTCGGGTACGGTTAGCAAAAAAATTAAGTTACAACCATATAAATATTTAAGATATGCTTTTATAACTTTGAAGATTATGAATGGCAATAGTATCTATGAAAAGTCTATAGAGCCCTTGGTTTGTGACCCATCATTCTAATCAAAGGACCTCAATTATAATCATTTTTATGAAAATTCAATTTCTTAATAAAAGTGTAAAAAATACAAAAATTT